GCCCAGTCACCCCAAGAAACAGGGGCTGCTAATTCACTGAGGGAATAAATTCCCAGAGAGCCTGGGAAAAACAAACAGGTCCTTCTGGGGAGTGAACTGTTTTTCAGGATTCCTTGGCAGGCAACCAGCCACTCTGCTTTGTAAGGTCTTGTTCTTCCTTGCAAGGAAGAAAAAAATAACTGAAGGGCTCCTGTTTTGTTGAATAAGGTCATCATAATGCACTCAAAAAGACCAGTGCCACTGCTTCTCATTGTGAGAGCTATGGGGTGTAGCTGCACATTACAGGTGCTTGAATAAACAACATTACCACTTTCAGGAGAGGAGAAAATATATAAAAGACGAGCCTAATGACTTCAGCTCAGCCAGCTTTTCCCCCACTTTTCACAACCCCCCTTCCCGCATCCCAGACAGCCTCCTACCCAATACCACTGCCCGTCTCCGAGTTTCACTGCCTGTCTCCGAGTTCGTGACAGCGGAAAAAGGCCTTTTCTCCCACAGGAACAGCCAGTGCAACCCAGATAGGCTGCGGGGAGGTTTAACCCCTTCACTGGCTGGCCACATGCCATGTACAATGACAGGAATGCTGTGCCACATATGTATCTGTTTCCTGAGCTATACGTATTTTTTCTATTACTTACCTTCCCCATTCCAGCATGAGCATGTCCCAGCTTGACCACTACGGGGAAATTTGGAGTTGTGAGCTGAAAGACAGAAGAAGCAGCTCCTCATTAGTTATTTCTTTCCAGCCATTGTATTTGAAATCATTTACTTTTATTTAGTAGCTTTTATCCCCTTCCTGGATGCTGATGGGAGGATAGAAAGGTCAAATAAATACTGTCCAGGTGGTAGGACAATAAGCAAATAGCTTTTCACTGGGACCCATATGATCGGAAATGGAGGCCAGGCAGAATTCCCTAGATCTGACACACTTTTGCTGCCTGATAGCAGTAACGTCTAAAACCTTCTTACTTTTTCCCATTGCGTTCCCCACCCTGTACGTATGGATGTGTGTACGCTCATCTGCATGTAAAAAAGCTGTACCTGCAAGCTTGAGTCAGTGAACAGTTTCAGATGCTCAAAACATGTGAATTGTGAGAAAGACAAGGTTTGTTTGTTTTTTTCCACACAGACTACTTTGGCCTTTAAAGTGAGTGTGCGCAGTCCTTCAGCAGCTCCCATTGCCCTCTTGTCAGCAGTGGTGGGGGCAAGGAGAGAGGGAACAAGGGCCAACACTGAGGTGCAACTCACAAACTCCACCTATTCATAAAGCCTCTTCCTCTCCTCTCTAACTTCAGGAGTGGGTATAGGGAATAAAAGAAAACAAAGAAGGGTTGAAATCAGCAAGAAAAATAGAAGAAAAGTCATGTCTTCTCGCTGGCTTGTGTGGTGTTTACATTGGGCAGGGTCCTGCCATCCAAGCCATACAGGTGAATCTTAGTGCACATGTTGGATTTTACTTGGAGAACTGCAAGTATCCTCTCTGCCTTCTGTTCCTCAGTTGCATGCTCATGCAAGAAGTCACCTGGAGTGATCGACTGAGAGCTGGATGGCTGGGCTGGTAGGAAGTGCACATGCCAGGAGTAACCAGGATATATACACCACACCTCCCCTATGTACTGGTTGGTCCCTTTCTATGCATCTGTTTGACATCCCTGTGATCTTCATCTTGTCCTGTGCTCCTGATTCTTGTGATCTAAATGCTATCCCTTCAGCACATAACCTGTTAATTTTTCATTGCATGTTTCATTTTATTTAATTGGAATTATTTTAAAAGACTTTTGTCTTTACCTAAATGCCTGAAGTGATGAGCTCTGTTCATTAAGCAGTTAACCTGGAGATCTGGCAATGAGAAGGAGTTGAATTTTGACAGATAAATGGCTCTCTTATTTATTTAAGCTTGAGAATAGATAAACAAATTGTTCTTGTGCTAATTACCGATTGTCTGTATGGACAGGCGGGCGCTACGCCCTAAAGATAGAATGGTGCTGCAGTCTCCATCTGTGGCAGCTAACTATAAATAACAAAATTAGTAATGAACACTGATATGTTTTGCTATTCAGCTGCTTATGTAAAGAAATGTCACAGCAGAGGGAAACAGTGAGTGCATCATGTTCTCAAACAACCTGTGTCACTTGTGAGGACCTTCTTCAGTCAGAAAGCTGAAGAATCCTCTTCGGACCACAGAAGGGCACACAGCTGTAATAAATCACAGTCCTGGCACAGGCAGTGACCAGCACCCACTGTTTCAGAAGAAGAAGTAAGGAACTGTGTTAGGTGGCCATCCTGAAACCCCACAGTTAAACATATGTCCAGGCACATGAGTTTGTGCCCTATTTCCCCTTTGCTTCTCTAATTCATTGTAAGAGCCTGAAACTTAATTTGCTTGCTGGCATAAATTAATCAAATGGAGGATTGCACCTGAGGCTTACTGAAAATAGGGCTATGGATGGACTGTGCCAGGCCTTTCATGCTGGGAGATGAAAGATAACCTAGCAGTTAGGGCACCCACCTGCTCAGGGTCTGGGAGACCTGGCTCACTTCCCAGCTCTGTCACCCATGCCCCACACACACCGTTTGAGCCAAAGCGCTTGCAAGCCCCAGCCTCTGTTCCCTGTTTGTAAGCAGAGGCAGCAGCTGTTCCTACTGCACAGGAAAAGCAAGCTGCAGGCTGCGAGCTGGCCTGATACTCTGGCAAGGAGGCCAAAGAAGTGTGCGGGATAGATAATGTTCTATCACCAGCTCAAAGCAGCCAGAGGCAGGAAGTGATGAACTCTGCTGCCCCATTCGTGTACCCTACCTGTGGGTTTTGCTGAGGGAGCTTGAGAACGGGGCTCGGGAGCGGGAAGCATCTGTTTTCCTGTGTATATGCAAAGAAAGTTTGGCATCCAATAAACAACCCAAGTTTACTGCTAGCCTGGAAGAAACCACCGGTAATGACAACGCTCTGCTCAAACCTCTCCCTTTCTCTTTGCTTCTTGGAAACATGAGCTCAGCTTTCTCAGTAAGGCTTGGCCTCATCGCCTGTAGGGGTGACCAGCTGGTGCCAGAGCATGCTGGAGTCACAAGCTGCTTGGCGTGGCCATAGTGCGTGGGGCTTGGGGTGAAACACAGATCCAGACTGAACATGTGGCAGCCTCACTGGGAAAGCTGCAGCTCCAGGGAAATGCTAGCACATGGTTTGCCAGGAATCTGCTGCCACTGAACCCCCAAATTTCCATGTACGTCAACCTGCCTTATGGAGGAAACAATGAGAGCGAGCGGCACATACACTCAGCTGCATTTTGTAATGAGTTTATCTGGTGACAATGGAGTGCCTTTAGTCTGCGATGAAGTTAAGTGGAATCAAAAGCTCTCAATAGTCCTCAGGACTAAAGCAACCAGAGTCCACAGCCATCTGATAATGGAGCTAGGAAGCCCTTGCTGAAGTGGTGGAAGCAGGCTGAAATCCACTGCAGTCATGGGGGATACTTCCATCTTCCACCAGGGTCTTGTTGGGATTTTAGTCCCATTTCTGTTGCTAGTAAGGTGGCCAGCCATCATACTTGGCAAGCACTCAGATGGACAGGGAAGCTGAAGGAAGGGAGAATGTATTATACATGCGACTATGAGGCAATTCATACACGTACATGGTGAGAAGTTCTGGGGGTGGCCACAGCCGCCACAAAACGCAGACCCCTGAGATGAGTATTTACACATACTTAGTCACAGGTTTCCTGTGAAAGAAGATGCTTATAATCAAAGGATAGAACCACAGTTTAATAAGAAAAGCATGTTTTTACTGAAATCATGCAAAGAAATATGTCCGTGTCTTTCTACGTGTTTGTTCACGTGTTGTAAGGGCTCTTTTTTCTTGGAAAAATGGGGAAAACCACTTTGATGCTTTTAAAATGTGCATGAACTGTTGACAGGGCTGGTAAAGATGATGTCTGCAGGTTTTGGGATGGGACCATAGCATTGCAGCTAGCTCAGTGATCAGACGCAGGATGCTAGTTCATATGCATAATTCAGCCCTTTGAATTAAAGTCCTATAAATGTATTCCCAGATGTTGTCACGCAAAAGCCTTGAGACGGCAAGGTTTACATATGTGTCTAGAACTTGGTGTATGAAGATGACTGTTTAGAGTCAAACAGAAGTTTGAATACTGGACTAGGAACTCAGCAAAGCCATCTCTGGTAGGACCGAAGGGAGAGTGAAGAAGTTATTTCCAACCTACAACACTGGTGGCCCAAAGTATATAATTTTAGTCCCTGATTTTAAGGGCTCTGCTCTGTGTGTGCTGTTACGGCAAAGATCACTTTGCAGTTAATCAGTATTTTGTCACTGGTGTGCGAGAGTGAGTGCCGGTATGCATACATTAACCTCTATTTGAAAACACATGGCTGTAAACTATGACACTTTTCCTTTTACCCTCTGCCCCTCCTTTCCAACAAATAATGAAGTTTTCAATACTTCTTGTAAAAAAATGATTAATTTCTGTGTTTATTGCTGGTGGAGCAGTAGAACAGAGTTGGATCTAAACATATCTGAAAGGAGGAATCTTAAATAAAACCTGATCTATCCCATAAATACAATGCTTCCCACTCTTTTGTTTCACTGAGGCCCTCAAGAGAGATGCTGATCTTTGATTTTGGTCATTTTGTGTACAGTCCTGCAGTCCATAAACAATGTAGAATGTCTCTTTTGATTTCCTTCTGCCATGTTAAGTTTTGTGCATTAGTTCACATTATCCATGTCATCTCATATGATGCACATTCAGTTTCCAGTATTATTCTTTCTTCTGCATAGCCTTTCCAGTCAATGCTAAAATGAATAGTCCAGGGTGCAATGACATCATGGCAATATTAGGAAGGATTTGGGGAGATGGGAGATGGAGACATTAAAACTTTGGTCTCTTGGCATCAATATTGTATTACCATAGTGTCTAGAGTTTTCAATCAGGCCAAAAGCCCCCATAGCTCAAGGTACTGTAATTGTTGCTTCACCCTCCCCCCAGGGATTTTTTTCAGGCTTTTATACTCTAAAACTGACCTTTCTGTTTATTTAGCTGCCTTTACTTGCATGATGACAAAGTCTGTTCTGGGTGGGTACCTGATGGATTATGGGAATGTTGTTCATACACTTGAGAGCTAAATGCTGTAAGTACTGTGTGGTACTTCCCTGGTGTCAATTAAGGTGGAGGAGCAGTAATATATATAATTTCCTGTAAAAGCAAGCAAGCTGATTCAAACCTAAAGGAAAGTAATGATGTCATGACACGATGTCATTGTGTTTATAGACCTATCTTACTGAAAATCTGAGCTGAAAATCAGCACTGGTTGCATGCCAGCCTTGCCAGGCATGGCAAATTCAGTGTAGTGATATATGGAGGAGAAGCTGTAGTGCTCCCTGTTACTAACTTACTCACTCACAAGTTGACGTAATCATCAACTACACGCAGCATGGCTCACTCAGTGGATTAATACTGTGGCCCCATGGAGGTCTGTGGTGGCCAATGGCTATGACAAGCAAGTCCTTCCCCTCTGCTGTTTACCAGATCAGAAATAGTGTAAGAAACAACAAGCAACAATGGGAGAATTTGTTGAACAATAAGAGTTGCCAGCATTAACATCTGTGCTCTGTTAAAGACACGTGATATGGATTCCTTTAAAACACACACACACACGTGTATTCATTACTATATTATAATTATAGCACAATAAAGAAAAAATCATCAGCTGTGAAAAGAGGGCCCATGCTTCCAAGCCAGCTGAAGTAAATCCTGAGGGGGTGTAGGTATCCTCAATGGTCTCTGGAGGAAGGAGGGGATAGGAGTTATGATGAGAAAAGTGATGAGATACTTGTGACAGGAGTTGTTCAATAACAGCTGGATCAAGACAGCATTGTACAAGGTAGGACCTGAAACAGTATGGTGATTGATAGATGGGATGGCAGCTGGAATACAACAGTGCACCTTCTAGCAAAAGGAGCCCATCTATCATTTTAGGATGGGTTAAGTTCTACAGAGCTTTACTGAGCTGGGGCAATGAAATCAGTGCTGTGGATGAGGTGGGTGATTTAGTCCATGGTAGTTTTAGTAGTCTGTAAGAGAGGCTTGTAAAACCAAATGGGAAAAAACTGATGCACTTGATGCAAAGCACTGTGAGAGCAGAGGCCAAAGTTTTAGCAAGCAAGGAAGTCTTGGAGGCAGCATGTAGAAGAATGAGGCTGCTGATTACAAGGTTTTGGAGAAAACATTCAATAATTTGAAGGGGACCTCACTGCCGCAGACCTGGATATCTGTGAGAGCCATGGGGGTACCATAGAATCATAGAATACCAGGTTGGAAGAGACCTTGAGGATCATCTAGTCCAACCTTTCAAGGTAAAAATATAGTTTAAATTATATGGCCCAGCACCCTGTCAAGCTGAGTCTTAAAACTGTCCAATGTAGGGGAATCCACCACTT